GGCCAGTGTTCCCTGGCAGCTGTTGGACAGCACAGCTTCACAGGTAATTCATCAGCCTTGCTCAGCTTCCTGCATGGAGCCTGAACCTCTGTCTGGAAAGGGCTGATGAATCACCTGTGAAGCTGTGCTGCCCGGCAGCTTAAGGTCAGGGCCCAAGAGTGCCAGAATAGAGAGATTCAACCTGTACTATCAAATGCACACAAAAACCCAACACATTTGATTTTCATCCTCACACTTGATTTTCTAAATTATGCTAATTTAAGCTCTTTAAGTTAATCAGGCATATAATTTAAACTGATAGTGGCATTTTAAATTAGTATATTCAAAGTTTGGTGGAGCAATGATCAGTAAGACAACAGATGAAGATGTCAATGTAGGAATCACATCTGAAAGCAACTGTAGTTGCTGAGCTTGTGTTTGTCTGTCTGGGGTTTGGAGGGGGGGTTCCCCCACCTCTTCCCCTCCCCACCATGGAGTGTGTGCTGTGGCTGACAGGTGGAAGCTATGAGCTTCTAATCAGGGTTTCAAATCTAGAGGCCTCTAGAAGCCTCTGCTCATTAGTTGAGCCCTAATCAGGAAGAGGGGTTATCAGGCAATCCAGGGTTTTATAAAAGGAGTGAGTCAGCAACCAGTGACTGCTAATAGGAGTTTGGAGGGGGAGTTGGGAAGGAGGTGAGATACACTCACCATTCTTTAAAATCTTTCACTGCACTCCTGCCTTTCAAAGAGGCATTTAATAACTCAGAATGCAGGTATGGATATTGATAGGTCTGCTGTTGTTACCTGCATAGCATGTGCCATGTTTGTCTTCCTCCCGGAAGAAAGAAGAGATTTCATCTGTGCTAAGTGCAAGCTGGTTGCCATTTTGGAAAAAAAATTAGAGGACTCAAGGCCCAAGTACCAACCCTACGTTCCATCAGAGAGGATGAAGACTTCCTTGATAGAAGGCAGCGTTTAATCGTGGAGACACAGCAGGCTGAAGAGCCAGTCAGGGCAGTACAGGACAAGGAAGAAAACTGGCAGCATGTAACCTCTAGAAGAAGAACGCTAACTCAGGTATCTCCCATTCATGTAGATGTAAGTAAATGCTTTCAGGCTCTCTCCACAGGCACTGCAGTGGAGAATGCTTTGGCAGGGACCTCTCAGGGAAGAAATCAGAAGGGAACACCATCTACCAGAAGGCATGGGATGCGTAGTCTGAGGGATGGGGG